TTCTGAAGGCCTCTAACCTTTATTCAAGGTTCCTAGTCGAAACACAATAAAAGGTGACATTATCAAAATATATCAGAATGAAAAGTTGAAGACTATGGGACTCTTAGAGATGATTGGACAGCTAGCAATCAAAAGAAAGGGTTTATGGCTATCATAGCTCACTACATTACTGATGATTGGGATATGCAAAGTCGCATATTAAGGTATAATTTTTGTGATCATTATATGATATATTCATTTAGTAATTATTTGCATTATTTCAATATTTTTTTATATATGTATATAATTTATTTTTACATTAATAGGTTTGTATATGTGGAATGTCCACATACAGCAGAAGCTCTGTCTAAAGTGTTAGTTGAATGCATGCTAGATTGGAATATTGATAGAAAGTTATCTACCATCACTTTGGATAATTGTAGTACAAATGATTCTCTTGTTGGTTTGTTACTAAACAAACTTGATTGTTCTTCTCTTATGCTTGATGGTCAATTATTTCATATGAGGTGTTGTGCACATATTCTCAATTTAATTGCTCAAGATGGTTTAAATATTCTTGGAGATGACATAGAGAAGGTTAGAAGTAGTGTTGCTTTTTGGACAGCTACACCTAAAAGAGAACAAACCTTTAAGGAAGCAGCACGTCAAATCAAAGTTTCCATTACAAAGAAACTTGTACTTGATTGCAAAACAAGATGGAATTCTACTTATCACATGCTTGTTGTTGCATTGGCTTATAAAGATGTTTTTATTCATTTGAAAACAAGAAAGCATATGTATACATGTATCCCTACAACAAATGATTGGAAAATTGCTAAAGAAATTTGTAGTAGGTTGGAAGTCTTTAATCGTGTGACTGAGATGTTTTCTAGGACACAATATCCTACAACAAATATTTTATTCCCATTGGTTTGTGAAATAAAGTTATCTCTGCAACAATGGCAAATTTGTTCAATTGAGGCTATTAGAAATATGGCTACAAAAATGGTAACCAAATTTGAGAAATATTGGTCTGTTATACATGGAATCATGGGAATTGCCATTTTTTTGGATCCAAGATATAAATTAAAGTTGTTAGAGTACTTCTTTCCCAAGCTCTATGGAAGTTCATCTTCTTTTCAAATTAACAATGTCAAAAAATTATGCTACTTGTTGTTTGAAGATTATCAAGCTAAAGCCATGGGAATAGTAGAAAGTTCAGCTGAAAAGTCTAATGAGATGGAGATGAATTTGGATATACTTAATGTTAATAATTTTTTAAGTGATTATGATTCATTTGTTAAAGATACAAATGATATGCACTCAAAGTCTGAGTTGGATATCTACTTGGAAGAGAAGGTATTGCCTAGAAATGCTAGTTTTGATATCCTTGGGTGGTGGAAATCAAATGGGATCAAATATCCAATATTGCAAAAAATTGCCAAGGATATTTTGGCCATCCCAATTTCAACCGTTGCTTCAGAGTCTGCTTTTAGCACAGGAGGTAGATTATTGAGTCCTCATAGTTCTCGACTTCATGAGGATACTTTGGAAGCACTCATGTGCACACAAAGTTGGCTGAAACATGAAAATGAAGGTATTGAATACTCTATTAATATATTTATTTAATTAAATATTTTTTTTAATTTTAATTTGATAGCTTAATTATTGATTTTCTTATTATGTACTTGTATGTTTTAGTTTCTATTGGTATTACTGGACCAAAGCAATATGTAAACTTGAAAGATAAACGTTTACAGTCATTTGGAGAATCTGATTCTGATGAAGAGGTAAAATAGCCTAACTATACCATTTTGACTTTACAATAAATAATTAACTAATGTTATTTTTTTAGGTCTTGCAGAGTGACAGTACAAGAATATAAAGTTTAGGAGTTGGTTGTTTTACAAGATCTTGCAGATTATGTGTGCAATTTTATTTTTGATTTTTAAGTACTTTAGTTTAGAAAGTTGATGTATTAAGATACACTTAACACTTATGATCTTTGAATATTTATTTTTTACTTATACTTGAACTTTGTTCGGTAATATTATATAAGTATATTTTTTTTTATAACTGCTTTTTTTTTCTTAGACATGCGCAGGTAATAGGGGCGGGTATGGGTATGTGGGTACCCAGAAGGTACCGAGACGGGGACTAAAAGTACTATCCACGCGGGTATGGGGCTGGGTACGGGTATTTTTTTTAAAATGCGGGTATGGGAATGGGTACTATAGTACCCTACCCATTGTCATCCCTAGTAAATAACAAAAACAACTAGTACAAAAAAGTAAAGTGCAATAGCAATACTTGCCTTTAAGTTTATATTATAAATTTAACTATACTAGGTCATGTTTAGGGGTATACAATAGTAATAATAGAAACGCATCAACAACAATAGCAATAGTAATAGCGGCACTAGCTGCAAAAAGAGGTATTAGTAACAGTAACAATAATGGTAGTATCCATAGTTTGATTACTAAGACAAAAGCTTATATACTGTTATTTTATCTATTTTTATTCAACAATTTTATTTTATGATATTTCATCCTATCATGTCTATTAAATAGGCCTTATTATTTTCATTTTATTACGATGAGTTCCCTTCATTTTCAAACATTAACTTATTAGATGTTAACTTTATTTTTAATTTTATTTATATATGTCATACAATCGATCCCTTTTTGTTAAAGAATAAAACTAAAACTAGAAACAAAAGCATTAATAATATTATTATTAAAAATGAAAGTCGTTTATGTTTTCATTTTTATGGTGAATGACAAAATCAATCCGTTTCTTGTACATAATATTTTTCAAAATTGTGATTTATTAGTAGATGTGTGTTTCCTCAAGTATGTGTTGCTTCTTTTATTAAAATTGCATCAAGAAAATAAATAAATATTTTTTAAACTCATAATAATTTATAATAACAATGTGTAAATTATTTTAATGTTATGTTATGAAATTATAAGGGTACTTGTTTAATTACACTATTTTGTACTTTATACATGTGATTTTTTTTCTATTTTTAATTTTATTTTCAAAATTATTAATAACTAAATATTTCATTACATTTTCTTATTTCAGAAATAAAATATTTTTAAAAAATTCATATAATGATTCGTAATTGCAATTTATATATCACTCAAATTATAAAATTGTAAAAGTGTGTATTTAATTACAGTCTCATGCTCTGTATATGTGAATTTTATCTTAAAAAAAACTTAATATCTTTTTTCTTTTAAATTATCTTCAACACCATTAACAAAATATTTCTAACAAACCTACACCTTTCGAAAGGTTTTCTCTTGTGACTTTGATTTTCTCATTGTATCAAGGAATACACATAAGAGTGAGAATAAAAATGTTTAGCCTAAATATTTTCAATTTCCTCCGTTTCTTTTTAATTTAAAATATACTAAAAATACAAAAATATATTACAATTATTTTCTATTGCAAATAAACCATATCATTTTACGTAAAACAAAAATTATATTCTTTTAAGAAAAAAAATACTTTTTTTTCACAATTAATTATATCCATTTTTACAAATGTTGTGGAATACTAACATATTTAGTATGCATGATTAGATTCCTGAACATCGATCTAATTAAGCATACTATTTTCATTTAAATTTTTTTGTTTCAACCCCTTTGTCTCTTTTCCTTCCCTTCCGTTTTTTATTTGCCGTTCCCTTGTAATGGCTCCTATTGTCACATCCATCCATTCGTATGATTGGTATTTCGAAAGAACAATTATTTCAGTTTTAACGACTACATTTTAAATTTTTAATGAACTTTCATTACTCAATTCAAAATGGAGACTAAACTTTTTTTTTTCTTTTAATCGTTATTAAATTAACTAATTCCCAGACTCTTTATATTTTCTTTATTTTTTTTACCTTACATAACTATTAGAAATAATAACTTAAGAAAAATATTACTATTATTGCATAACTATTGAGAATAATAAATTAAAAAAAATATCATTAATATTGTATGATTATTAAGTGTTAGTAATATAAGTATTAGTAGTTTGTGATTTGGTAATTCTAGTTAATAGAAAACAAACATTTTTAACATAAACAAAGATATCACTTATCAGGCATTGATGTATGAGAAGTTTATATTTTAGAATATTTTATATGTTTAACATTTATTTGATGAGAATTTTACACTAATGTATTTGTTAATTATAGTAGTTTAACATGAACCAATCACTAGTGAAGTATAGAAGTATTTTGACTGCAATGGAAGAAATTTGATAAAAAGTAGAACCACGTAAAGCAAAATAACCTTACTGAATAGTCAATCTGATAGTGCTTCGTTACCATGCATGACCATGTTTATACACTAGTTTACTCTAGCCTGATTATATTTGCATGTTAGAAATTGATGACTCTTAACATCTTATGATTAATTAAATCGTAGGCTATAATACCACATCTAATTAATGAAACTATAAAATAAAATGAGATAAAAAATTAAGTAGACTAAACTTGTCTTTTCTCTTTTAATCGTTATTAAATTAATAAATTCATAAACTCTTTATGTTTTTTCTATTTTTTTGCTGTACATAACTATTGGGTTTAATAACTTAAGAAAAATATTATTAACATTGCATAATCATTAGGTGTTAGTAGTATAAGTATGAGTGGTTAGCGATCTTAGAAAAATCAAGATTTGAATTAAATTAAAAGTAAACATAAAGAAATGTAAAAGTAAAATCACAAACTCTAGGTTTATCTCAAATAATTTCTTGTTAGAAGTTGTACTAATTTCTTTACCTTTTGATTACTTTCTCTTTATTTCTATTACGCATTATTTAAGTTTAAAGATTTAAATCACGATAATCTTGATAATTAAAAATAATTTATGCGGAACGATATTTCGATAACTCAATTTAATAACTCTTTTTATTATTATTCAATAGAACTATTGCATCATATAAAGATAAAATTATTACATTGTTTATAAATACTAAAATAAGTTATTAATAAAGCATTAATTTATGATATTTCGAGAACTCAATTTAAAAACTCATTATTATTCTACAGAACTATTGCATTGTATAAAGATAACAATTATTACATTGTTTAGAGATACTAAAATAAGTTGTTTATAAACATCAATTTTGGTAAATAGAAAACATACATTTCCAGCATATACGATGATATCACTTACCAGGCACTGTGTTGTCTGAAGCAGAGTTGAGGTAAGAAATTACAAGATCAGCTGCTTTGCAACCTGAGGCAATTGCTTTGCCAACTGAGAGTCCACCTTTGTGGTTACCTTCCAAGTTCATCATTAGTAGCATAAGAGTTTAGAATTTAATGTAATGTACATGCCACATATTCTGTATAATCTTTTCTCTGCCAAAATTAGGTGAGGTCTGCACTTAGCTTCACTTGAACTTTTCATATTTAACTTAAATAGAGCCACCTTATACTTGTGATTTGTGAATGGAAACAATATGTTTAATTTTAGATGTTTGGATATCTAACGCTGAGTAGACCGGAATAAGACAGGATGAAATGGAATGCAGTGGAATAGAATAAAGTTGTCATTCTAGGTTTGGAAATTTTATAACAGAATAGAATGAAATTAAAAAAAATTGGACCAAGACGTTACCTGCATAGAAAAACCCGGGAAGATCTCTTTCCATCTTATCAATTGCTTCAAGAACTGACCCATAGTTACGTCCGTACAAAGGAAAGCCTTTACTCCAAAAGAAATGGCTGCCATGGAGTATGATTAGAAGAATAGAAAATTAGAGTGAGCATTGAAAACAAATTGATGACATACTTGACAAATGTAGGCTCCCCCTCTGCTCCCAACAACTTTCTCAGGTCAGAAGTAACAATTTTCTTAAGCTCCTCACTGCAGTAAACAAGCAATCTAGTAATGAAAAGGATATAAAGAAAAAAAGGAAAAAGGTAAGTCAGCTGGAGATTATATTTGATTTTTGAGTGACCTGTCATTCCAATGTATCTATTGTTACTCCTACTTAATTAACTTTTACATAATTTATCTACATTATTATTTTGATTAACAAAGAAAATGATGTTAGATAAAAATTAGTTGAATAAGAGCAGCAATAAGCATATGGGAGTGACAATATATATTCGTATGGATTTGCAAAATACATTACAACTACAGTAAAATTACGTTGAAGCTTGAGCCAATTCCCTGTTTTGAGTTCCCCCAATGAAGGTGGTATAGAGATATAAATCACTAGGTGCACGATCTGGAAACATCATAGAGGAAAAAAGGGTACCTGTTGAGGAAGACAATTCAGCAGTTACATCAGAAAACATTTTAACCTATTTTAGATATCATGAGAAAGACTTGTGGAAATATTACCAAGGGTTTTTAAACCATTTTGTCGCTCTTTTGAAGGAACAAGAACTCCAAATCCCTCCAGAGGTCTCTTCACATTCTCCTTTTTAAAGGTAGTAATCATGACAGAGAGTGGCACATAGGTCACCTGCAATTGGGGTTGCCAGGTGCTGTTTTAAAAACAAGAACTAATAGAAGCACGTTTAATTAGTTGGATATATTAGACATGTCCTCTAAAAGATAGATGCTGCTCAATCTCAAATTTTAAGCATGATAACCTTTCACATTCCCAAACAAACTGATTTTACAAGGCTATAGCTTTGTTTGATGACCCTGACCAAGCAGTAATGGTGCAAGAAGATAACATGCCGCCTTATATATTTGCAAACAAATAAATTTCAGAGGATATTAATCAAACTCTAAGTCAAGCTGAAATGTTGTATACCTCAGGAAGAAAATTAAGAGGAAATGGGGTTCCTTTTTTTGTGATCTTGATGTCCTTGACATTACACATGGGAGCCTATATTATAAAGTGTAAAAAAAAAAATCATCAGAAATGGAAGTCATCAGCAGTAGTAACTAACAATGACGATAATGTTTCATTGAAAAAAAAAGTGTCAACATGGAATAAAACTTCACAAACTAACTTGACAAAAGGTTCACAACACAACTTTAGAAAATAAAGATAAATGTTGCAGAACAATCCAACCTCTGTTTGTTTTCTCGCATAGTGCTGCTAAAAAGTTGGGAGAATATCATTAAGAGCCTATGTAGATTACAAATTGTAAGAATAAATCTTTGACCCTGGTCTCCATCAATAGAGGTTCTAGAAAAGATCTACCACAATTTAAGCCGAAGTTCCCAGGAACACCAATTATAATTTATTTTGAGCAATGTGAAATACCATGTCACGTTAACATTGGCCTTCATCAATGAGTATGTAACAGACAAAGATGCATTCAGATATATAGCAACATCAATTAATAATATACAAGAACTTGAAGGTTCCCATTGAACACAATTCTCTATTTTTTCGAGTGTCTTGAAGCAATCTATCCTCAGGACGATGATGGTAGTAGTTACTACTTGTGTATTCTTTTCAGGGTTATCTGGCAAGGAAACGGCCAGAATTGGTTTTTTAATTACCCTCAACAGAAGAAGTGCAATTGCAATGATAATGCTTTTTTATTTTAATTATTTTTTGCTGCACAAAATTTTCTTCTATTTTGTTTATCCTAGTATCCTACTTTTTCTTCTAAATTATTTTGATCTGAAATTCAAACTTTCCTTCACATCAGCATCATCACACACCATAGCCAAGTCTTTCCCTGACTTCTGTTCACTTTTAATAATATTAACATGTTTGTTCATAATTTGCATAGTGCCTGTGTCTAAAGATTTCGGGAAAGAACAAAAAGGGACAAAGAAGGAAAACCATACTAACCGTCATAATTATTGCATCAATATCTTGTGTGTTTTGGTTAGAAGTACAAGTTATAGACCAGGTTTGCGATGAGGAACTTCCATCATGACTGTAAGCTAATGTCAAAACCTTTGCACTTAGTTTAAGGTCATCTTTGCCAATCTCTTTGCACAATGTATCAGTTAGTGTCTGCGCTGGATAAAATCATATAAATGAGATGAAAGATATGTATCAAGGAGACAAATACAAAACTCATATGGTCAAAGGCTCTAATCAAGGCAGCACAGGGTTTTTCTTGCAAGTCATATTTGCATAATGATTCAGTACCTGCATCCCACCATTGAAAGAAAATGAACCACCCTTGTTTTTGTTTTTTCTTGGCGCACTCCTATTCACTCCAGTTTTGTCCTTTTTGGCAAACTTGGATTGCAAAGCCCCAGCTATAATGGAGCCAAACCTGAAAAATACAAGTATCCACCACATATTAACCAAAAATCTATGAAAAGAAACAATATCTTACACTTATAAGGAGACTACCCCACAACTCTGTTACAAACCCAAGAATCGAAATGGAAAAGAAAAGAAAGATTTATTGAATAGAATGGAAAGAACATAAAATAGGAGAGAGATCTCTCCTCCAAGGGTTTCCCCTTCACAAAGGATTTCTCCTTTCACAAAGAGCAAAAGCTCAATTACAAATGATAGCAAATCTGAATCCCCTTTCCTTTACATCTTTGTTCTATTTATTTAGCTCACAGACACCTTCTAACTAAACTCTTTCACTAACTAACTACTTTCATTAACTAGCTACAATAACTATCCTAACCAACTTTCTCTTCTCTCACTCTTAACTCCTAACAAACTCCCACCCTCATTTTAATCGTAAAGCTAAGTTGAGCAGAATGCTCAATTGTTTAAATGGCGATTCTTTCTGTCTAAACTTGCAATGGGATAGTACTGTTATTACAATTTGGATCAAATGCTTACCACTTGGATAAAAGTTGTAGCTATTAGTAGGACAAAATTATTTCTACAGCATATGGCCAAGTGCCACAGTTAATGTTACACAATACGTGAAAAGAATAATATCCACTAGAAATAGCTACATGGGAACAGGGTCAATTTTGGCATAGATATGCCATGTTCGCCAGATCCTGTGGGAAATAATCATACAATTTTTCATGTCTAACAAATTGCAATAACTACTTATTCTGTTCTTTAAGAACAGACAATACACCAATAAATTCACTAACAGTGAACAGTAGATGAATATCCGTAGTTCATATTATATACATATATCAAGTAAAAGTATCAACTGGAGAGAAATTACGATTTAAAAAAAATACACAACATCAGAAAAAATGGCACATCAGTTTGAAATAGACATCAAATAATATAAGAGTACCACAGGAAAGTTACTAGCAATACCTTTTCTCCAAATCCCATAGCTCTGGAAAAAAATGGCACATCTGTTTGAAATATATGAAAGAAGTTAAAGACAGAAGTTTGGACAACTAAAAATATTTGTTGGCTGTATCTGGTCAAAGTCAAAATTGAAAATTTTGAGGAATTCAACTCACTCCAAAACTGGTTTAAAACATCAAGATAAAAACAATTAAAATATTGGTATAAATAGAGTCTTTCCCCCAGTAGTGCATGCTGCAATGCTTGTGATTATGCAGCTCATGTGTTTGATTGCCACCAGGACCAACCAACCTTGTGATTTCTCTCTCCCTCTCTCTCTCTCTCTCTCTATCTCTGTATTCAAGAGACCTGTATTCCCCATATCCTCTTCCCAGGTCATATTGCTAGATCTCATTTGAAACTGAGTGCATATTAAGAGAAACAGAGAGGAAAGTAGATGATTGGAGGTACAACATGTCAAGGATGATGCTAATAACAGTCAGAATGGGGATTTAGGCTAAAACCATCTTGCACAAGTGGCAAGTGGGTAGGAGGAAAGCAAGGGGAGGGAATGGAGAGAACTGGGTAGAACATTAAAGTATGCTGGTAAATTGAAAGAAGAATTAGGTATAGGATTGGAGTTGGTTATTCATAGTGAATTAACCTAGTTACTTTTCTTTTCTGTCTTTAATTTCTTGGTTATATTCCCAGTATTATGTAAGGGAAACTTTTAAGATTTTGAATAGGTACCCGATCCAAGATTAGGGGAGAGAGTAAGTGGAGTTTAACCTTGAGTGACCTATTTATCTAAAATGCCTTAGGCTATTTAGAATTATGACCCTCTTGCTTATATATCCTTTGATTTGTTTTTAATCCATCAATATAGCACTTTATTATCTTAACACTTCCCCTCAAGTCCAATTAGCTTTGAGCTGATTGTGACTTGCCTTTTCACCATTTTTTTGTTGTCTGGGCTTGTACTTCAAGTTTAGGCCTCTACCTCAAGTCTTGTTTTTTCTTTCTATTGCTTGAACTTTTTTTTTTTCCCCTTGAATTTTGATTTTAATGCCACAGGTTTAATTTTTTGTTTTTTTTATTTTAGCTTGACCCTTTATTTATTTATTTTGGGCCTTTAACTTTTTTTAGATATTGGCTCCTCTAATAACATATAAGAATTTTGAATGTGAGCCCAATATAAGATTAAGAGAGAAAGTGTTAATTGGCTTTAAGCTTGAGTTACTTATTTGTCTAAAATTCCTTAATGCTTTGTTTGGATATTTGGAGGAGGAGGGAAGGAAAGGGTTTGAAGTGAGAAGGAAGGTTAAACCCCTCCCTTGTTTAGATATTTAATATTGAGATAGGAGGGTGACGAGGAATTTAATCATGTAAATGACATTATTGTTCTTCGTATCTTTTATTCATATTTTTTTATCTTTTTTATTTTTTTCAAAAAATACAAAAAATTAAATATTTTTCTCTCTCTAAAAATTAATATTTTTATATTTATAAATTTTTAAAAAAATTTCTCACTTTAAAAGCTAACATATTTTGAAAAAAAAATTCTTATTATTCTTCTTTTAGAATTAACATCACACTTTTTTAAGAAAAAGAAGGGATAAATTAGTCATTTTAAAATTTTATTTTAAAGAACTTTAGAATGGGAGAACTCAAAAAACTAACATCAAGAGGGTTTTGAGAGGTTTAGCAAAAACTCCCTAACCCTTCCCCTTATAATTAATTAACTTCCAAGGGTTAAACCCCACTAACTCCTCCCTTCTCTTTCCCTCCTCTCCTAAACATGAAATCCAAACAGCCTAAGCAATTTAGATTCATGACCTTCTTATTGTTAAGATGTCCTACATCTACTAGAAATAAAAACAAAATACTCCTCATATGTCTTGAGCAAACCTCTTCTTATAAACTAACTTTTGAGAGTAAGTTAAGCATGATTTTCTAATATGGTATCAGAGCTTATCTTGTTGGGCCGCCTACAGATATCTAAATCTACAAATTTCATGCACCAAATATCCAGCCTTAAAAGTGAAGTGTGTCTTAAGATGTCCTACATATGCTAAAACTAGAGTCATAATATTCCTTATAAGAATAGAAGACCTTTGGAAACACCAGTAAGGAGAGTAGATTGCATGACTCTTAATCTGGTAAAACGAGGTTAAGGGAAACCAAAAAGAACCTTAGGCAAAGTTATTAAAAAAGACTTTTTGATTAACCTGATTTCTGAAAATTTGATTTTTTGACCAAGGTTACGGTGTCATGTGATCCATATAGCCGACCTCACCTAGTAGAATAAGGCTTGGTTGTTATTCATTCTTCCTTGATTCATTTTTTCACCAATCACATTCTAATCATTTGCCATAGTAATCAACAATTTGATTAGGCCTAATACTTGCCAAAATCATATGGGACGATATTTTGGGGTCCTTTGTACTCCTATATTATTTGTCAACAGATTCGCTTGCCCAAATGCAAAAATGCTATATGTTACTATTGACTACTCTGAATGAGACTCTTAAAACAGTAAGAGTTCTAAAATTTTAAAGGTCTCCCTTAATCTGAACCATACTAAAAGTAAACAAAAGAAAAGACCTCTACATAATATGCCATACACCATATAGTGTAAAATGGTAAAATCCACCCTTAATAATAGAACCCTACAAGAAAGACAACCAACAAAAGTGGAATATCCCAAACATTGCTAAAGGAACAGAGACAACATAATGAGGACCACTTAAAAGATGAAAATCAAGTACATGACTAGAATGATGTGACAAAAAGGTTTAAAGGGGGCAAAGAAACAAGAAGTAAAGATTTAAAAACTAAACGACATGAATGATTAGAGAAATCTTATTGCTAATTAAAAAAAAAAAAGTTGGAACTAATCATGAACCTGTGTTCAATGAATGGATAATGGCTAGCCATAAACTACTTAGATTGACCTTAAACAATGGATTTTTCCATAACTGGAAATCTATTTATCAAGACTTTTTAATTAGAATGCTTTGAAAACTAAATATGTAAATTTGGGTTAGAGCATAACATTTTTGGAACCATTCTTGACTCAAATAAAAATTATGTTCATAACCATTCGAAAAAAGAAACATCCATAAAGCAACTACATCACTAGTGCTGACACAAACACACACACACATGTATGTATCAAATCTACTTATGTCGTTTTTGAAGTTTGGAAAGCATGGGCTAAGATGTAATGAACTTTTACCCTCTGTTTGGTTCAGAGGAAAGAAAATTAAAGAAGAGAAAATATTGAAATTTGAATTGAAAAGAAAATCAAAGAGTAATAAACTGAAATTATGTTTCTAAAACTCAACTTCTCTCTCCTTTTTCTTTTCATTTTCTTCAACCAAACAAAAGAAAATGTATTGTCATATGCAGTTTTTTTTTTTGTCTTTAATTTTTTTCCTCTCATCCAAACAAATCATTAATTTTATTGTCCTAAATTGTAGAAACTAAAAGCTTGATAGATAAGCTACTATGATGACAAGTTACAGTACTCTAAAATCAAAGTTAACTATCCAAAATCAATCAAATCTGAAAAAGCCTTTCTCTCTTTAACCTATTACATCAATATAGTGTATTGATTTAGATCATGATTAACATCTTATATTATTAAGCAATCCAAATAAAACCAAAACTCATATTTAAAAGCATAAAATACAAAATATTGTAGAAATAAATCAAAATTTGAGAATCAACTCACTGAAAGAGATTCAGGATCTGATGCACTAGTGCCTCCAACAAAAGGATTAATCAGATAGTCCACAACCTTCAAATAATTTAGTTAGAAGATGGCATAAAGCACTCCAATCCAAATAATAAATACTATGCTCAAAGACATATGTACTGTATGTACACTGCAAGCATGCAACATGTTAGTCACAACAAGAAAAATATCAAATGAGTGATGGAATTGTAGCATGACTTGTACCTCTTTCCCAAAATGACGTTCAAAGAACCCACCAACACTGCAAGAAAGAAAATGGAATGCGAAGAATATCACTTTTTTTTGTAGTAAAATATAAAATAGACAGAGAGCAAGGTGCTGTAGAACTTGATGAAATTAATTGAGGTTTTTTGAACCTTTCCTCAGAATTTTCATCACACAAATTTGAGGGGTCCCTTCTTTTCCACATAAATGGTTCAAAAATGATCTGGATCTGCAAATTTAGAAAGTTATGTGAGCAAGCTATCTTCTTTAAGCTGGATAAATGAATAGGTTTATATTTTTAGAAGAGAAAAAAAATAGCACTAACAGAACTAAAAAAGAATAAAGAACAGGAACAAACAGCATGAAAAAACATGCTCTCATTTGCCTTCCATGTAAATCATTCACTAATCTAAATTATATCCAAAACTTTTACTGATTTTGAAGTTTGGCATCAACTTCCTTGAGTGCATCTCATGCCAGATTCCCATGTTTGTTATACTTAGTAGAAGATTTATTTCATGCGCAAGTAGCCTTTAATATTTCAAACCTTGACATGAATAAAAAAAGACATACAAATTTGTGCAAATCAGAGTGATCAACCTCTTAATAAAGCAATGATATTAGGACATTTACATTATATGTTACTAATATGTCAGAAAATGGTTACAGACTATATGTCATTTTAGGCACCATGGAAAATTCAGAATTTAATACTTGAAAATAGATTTCATTTTAGCAAATGCATGATTTTTAGTTTAGTTCAGAGTTTTCAGACTTCAAATTAGATTTACCCAAAGAAATGTGTTTCTTATAATCACCAAAGAAATCTAAAGAGAAAAAAGATGTTGACACAAGCTATGTGAGCATTTGTCTAGAATCTGAGACCTTCAGAAAAAGTTATAGTAAGGCTTAAAATGTTATTAATGGATTGCAGAGGAGTATTTGAGGAGTGTGTGAGTGTAAGCATTTGTAAGTAACATTAATCAAATAGATAACATTGAGCGATAATGAAATGAAAATTTTCGAAAGCTAAAAACGTTGAAAAATCCTTAGATATGTTGTAAGATAGAAACCTTTGATCGTGCAGAAAGGAGTTTGCTCTTCAGGAGTGCAGCAGGATTTGTGGGTACCTGGTTTAAAAAGTTACCACATTTTACATTATTATGAGACAAAGATAGTTGCAAACCTGATAACTCATTTAAAATGTCCAAATAATTCAAAGAAGAAAAAGAGAATCAACATTTTAGAAAAAGACAAAAGTTATAAGTAAGCTATACCAGAAGTGGTGTCCCATTTTTCACAATATAGCGCTTATGCTGTGAAATTGGCTGCAACAGTAAACAAAATCTCAATCTTACTCATAACTAAAACAAATATTTAATCCCTGAATATATCAATCACCGATAATCTTCAACTTCCAATACCAACAATAAAATCCAAATTATAATTTAAAGAACTAAGGTTCTAGCAGCTTAAAATAATAGAGAGGTCAGCATTGGAAGATAAATGAAAGAAAATTTGTTTTCTATGATTGGAAAAACATAGTCTTTGTCTTTTAACATGATTTTTTCTAAGCTAAAAAATCCTTACATATTGTTGCTTGTCTTGAAGTCCAAGAGCATCAATCAAACCTTTAACCTCCACTTCACTTTCAGTCTGCAGAATGTGAACAAAACTTTTCGTCAAAGTAAGAACTTCTGTAATAAGCATATATAAAATAAGGGGTAAATTACAAATAACTGCCCCAATATTTAACTAATTTAATCATTTTCAATTTCATATATGAAGTTTATTTTGTAACACATAACCTACGGAATAATGTGTTAGTCGGTTAGATTGAAAAGAATTAATTTTACTAGTTTTAAATTTTCATAGAAGTTATGGAGGGAGACTTTAGAATCTGAGGGTTTTCCCTTAAGTAATAATAAGACAAAGTCTATGCATTGTAGGTTTAGCAAAAAACAAGATAAGGATCATGCATTAAAGTTAAAATTGGAGATTGTCATGAATAGCTAGAATAGACGTATTAGGATTAGGGTTTATTTTAATATTATAATAACGGGCTTGGCCCAGTAGAGTTACATATGTATCCTTATAAATATAAAGGTCTCTACACATTGTAGAGTATCCAATTCCAGCACACTAATCTTTCTCTCTCTCTATGCTCTTTCTCTCTGAATCTCTACATGGTATCAGAGCCTTCTAGGTTCTCTCCTTGGTCGCCACCGCTGCTGCCGCCACTACCACCCCCGCACTGCTGCTGCCGCTGCCGCTGCCGGAAGAAAGAAAAGAAAAGAAAAAAAAAAAAAAAAAACAACAGCTTCAAAAAAGGCCAACCATGGCTACTATGGGGATGAAAAAATTTTTCGGTGACCAGAATATGCAGTAATTCATCGTTTACAATTTGAGTGCGGCGTTACAATGTCTGAACATGATAGCCAGGATGTGCAGGATGCACAGCACAAGGGAGCTATTACGGAGATTGTATCTCTATCCAAACTTACCAAAGTTAAGCTGGATGGAGATGGTATGAACTATATGGAGTAGAAGTATTTGGTTGAGATTAACTTAGGTGAAATGGGAAAGGATAATTATTTGACTGAAACAACACCTATCAATTCTAAAGATGTTGACATATGGAAGATACGCGACAAAAAGATCCTTGCGTTGCTAGTAAACTCTGTTGATAGGTGAATACAAGTGATTATTACCCATTGCAAAACAGTGAAGGAGTTGGGGGATTTTTTGCAATATATTTTTAGAAAATCTGATAATTTGAATCGGTTATATGCTCTCTTGCAGGAAGTTTATCAACCCAAACAAAATAAACAGAAGCTAATGGACTATTTTTTTGAGTTTAAGAAGCATACTGAGGAGATACAATCTCTTCACGTGTCAACAGATCCTATGTCTGACCTTGACCTTTCTATTATTATCCGAAAAGGTAAGAGATCTTTCATATATCCTATTTCATCTTATGTGACGTCTGCTCATTTATCCTTTACATCTAAATCCTTCATGGCTGGTGTAGACTCTCTCTCTGTTCCTAAGACCCTTGCAGATGCCCTCAGTCATGATGGTTGGAGACATGCTATGGAGGAAGAAATGTTAGCTCTTGAGACGAATGATACTTGGGATTTGGTTCCTCTTCCCAAGAACAAACAGGCTATTGGTTGTGAGTGGGTTTACACTGTGAAAGTTAATCCAAATGGTTCTGTGGCTCGTTTAAAGGCACACCTTGTTGCAAAAGGGTATGCCCAAACTTACGGCGTTGACTACATTGATACGTTCTCTCCAGTTACTAAACGATCATCTGTTCGCATCTTCATCTCTCTTGTGGCTATACATCATTGGCCATTATTCCAGCTAGATGTCAAGAATGCATTCTTACATGGAGACTTACAGGAGGAGGTGTACATCGAGCAACCACCTGGCTTTGTTGCTCAGGGAGAGTGTGGAAGAGTATATCATTTAAAAAAGTCATTATATGGCTTGAAACAATCATCTAGAGCATGGTTTGAGAGATTCAGTGACGTGATTCTGAAATTTGGATTAGTGAGGAGTGAGAGTGATCATACAGTGTCTTACAAACAGACTAACCACAGTTGTATTTTACTTCTTGTTTATGTTGATGATATTGTTATTATAGGTAACAACAAAGAAGGAATCAGCAACCTAAGGAAATTTCTTCAAACCAAGTTTCAGACAAAAAACTTAGGAATTCTAAAATACTTCTTCGGTATTGAAGTCATGTACTCCAAGCAAAGAATCTTCCTTTCACAAAGAAAATATGTCTTAGACTTACTAATTGAGACCGGACTAAAAAGAGCTAAACCATGTGAGACACCTATGGAGCCAAAAGTGAAACTGACAGCAGATGGAGTTCCTTTTGCAGATCCACAGAAGTACAGAAGATTAGTAGGTAAGCTAAATTACTTGACTGTCACAAGGCCGGATATTGTTTTTCCAGTGAGTGTTGTTAGCCAATTTATGTCATCTCCGACGAATACTCATTGGGAAGCATTAATTCGCATTGTGAAGTATTTGAAGAAAGCACCAGGAAAAGGAATTGTATACAAAGATCATGGACATGCACAGATAGAAGCATTTTCTGATGCCGATTAGGCAGGATCTATGGACAGAAAATCTACTACCGGATACTGTGTGTTTTTAGGAGGTAATTTAATTTCGTGAAAAAGTAAGAAGCAGAACATTGTTTCAAGATCAAGTGCGGAATCATAATATAAGGCGATGGCTCAGACTATTTGTAAGTTAATGTGGTTGAAATATATGCTGGAAGAGATAGGATTTTGTAGCACTAGGCCTATGCAACATTGGTGTGACAACCAAGCAGCGATACACATTGCCTCAAATCTAGTTTTTCATGAACGAACGAAACATATTAAGATAGACTATCACTTTATTCGAAAAAAAGTTCAGCAAAAGCTTATATCCATCTCTCATGTTAGGACAGGCGACCAACTAGCAGATGTGTTTACAAAAGCTCTAAATGGGACACGTAGCAATTATATTTGTAACAAGCTGGGCATAATTAATATCTATGCTTCAGCTTGAGGGAGAGTATTATAAATAGCTAGAATAGACGTATTAGGATTAGGGTTTATTTTAATATTATAATAACGGGGCTTGGCCCAGTAGGGTTACATATGTATCCTTATAAATATAAGGGTCTCTACACATTGTAGAGTATCCAATTCCAGTACACTAATTTGTCTCTCTCTCTCTATGCTCTTTCTCTCTTAATCTCTACAGAGATGATATTATACCACAAGTTTCTAGTTCCAAGTACTTGAGATTGATTATACAGGATGATAGGGAAATTAACGAAGATATTACTCACAGAATACAAGATGGATGGTTAAAGTAGAGAAAGATATCAAGAGTTATATGTGACCGTGAAATACCTATCAGGCGGGAAACAAAAAATTCTACTATACTGCAATATGACCAACTATCCTATATGGTAGATGAGTGGACACACGAAAAAGAACATAATATAAAATGATAGTAAACGAAAGAATATTGGAGTAGTACCTATAGTGGAAAAGATGACTGAAAATCTAAGGTGGTTTGGTCATATGTTGAGAAGACCTTTGGAGGTGTTAGTAAGAAGAATAAATTGCATGACTCTTGGTCCAGTAAAGAAGGGTCGAAGGAGACCCAAAAAACCTTTTGACGAAGTTATGAAAAGAGACCTTTTGATTAAACAAATTTCTGAAAGTTTGGTTTTTGACCAAGCTCAATAGTGTCATGTGATTTATGTAGTCAACCTCACCTAGTGAGATAAGACTTAGTTGTTGTTGTTGTTAACTTCTCATTGAACATGTGAATACTTTATTGATGAAAAAATCAATGGTTTAGACTTTGGAATCTAATTGAATACTAATCACTTAGAATCTTACCATTGTATTAGCTCCCTCATCCCAAACGAGTCCATCCTGAGAAACACTTCTTAACCTCCCTCCAGCTCTTCCTTCAGATTCAAATACAGTGACATCCAGACCATGTGATTTCAATTTGTAGGCTGCAGCAAGCCCACTTGACAACACCATACAAATTTAGGCAGAAAAATGGTCATGATTCATGAATATTGAAAATCTCAGATATATAAATGGTTCAGAAATTTTACAAAAGGATGCAGACACCCAATGCCCTTTGTGAAATATAACAGATCATACAACCAATTATCATGTTTCAGCAGAATAGCAATAATGAAACAACATTAAATGAAATTTCACTGCTTCTTTTAAATTCATTTCCATGCACAATCTGCAGCAAAACACTATCAGTTCCCTCACTCATGTAATGTTGTAATTCATTATAACCAATGTCAGTGACATTGCCAAAATTCCCAGAACATGAAGCACAAGGTTTTCATGCTTTCAATGACATCAATTGGAAATCCAGCCAAGCCAGCAATAACAATCCATACTGTCAGTCAGACTATATCAACAGCAAATATACTCAAGAATCAGCAGCAAACTATATATATAGAGACATAGAAAATTGCTGGCAACAATTCGTTTGGGTCTCACTGCCTATGTTGCACATGAATTTTACACAGTAATAAACAGTACGTTAAAAAAGAGGGTGTTGTTAGCATTTCTAAAAATTGATACTAATCAAGAAGTAAGCCACAGCCACCTTACCTTACCCCAGCACCAACCACAGCCACTCTTTTCACAGATCCTGCAGACCCAAAAGCACCAAGCCAAAGGTTTGAAAAATTATGAAATTTTAGACACACATATTAGTAAGCATGAATTTTGTACAAAACTATCACACATTCTCTAAGTTGTGTACTGCCTAGTTTGAGAATTGACATACTACTCAACTGAATATGAACCTAAAGACAATTATTTTAAATTTATATTTAAAGTAATGATTATTATGATAATGGTGATAAATAAATTACAAAAATGTGAGTGTTTTAGAGAAGGAGATAGCTTACTTGGTTTATCATCTGCTGCAGAGGAAGCCATCTCTGACTTAGCTTCAGGTTCCTCGCGCAGGGGTTGTTGGATGCGGGGACACTAATTAAGGAGAGCTGAGAAAAAAATGTCTTCAAAACGATGTCGTGCCCCTCGCCCCCGTTTTTACTCGTTTCCATTTTTTTAAAAACTATGGGTTAACATTAGTAAAATAGTAAATTTAGTTCACTCACACTTAACACAATCTTTTTTTCAAATAAAAAAATTCAAATTCAAGAATATTTTCTTTTATAGCTTATGCATATATAAATAAGTTCACATTTGGCTTAAATAAACATTTTTCTTTTTCTTTTTTTATTTTCATTTAAGCAGGAAATTAACTTAGTTCATTAATGTAAATTCTACCTCAATCTATTTTTATATATTCAATGTGATTCTCTCCTTCCTTATTTTACATAACTTCTTCTACATTGAATATTTGGTTTAAATTTAAATATTTTATAATTTATTTATTAGTTAAATTTTTTTATCATTAATTTAATCTTATTTAAAATAAAATTTATACTATTAATAATAAAAGTATTTATTTTCTTAAATCTGTTAAATTCAAAATTAATCATGCAATGCACTTTTAATTTCGTTGTATGCATGTCTAATCATCATCTAGGTTTAGATATAAAGATAAAAATAAAAATAAATATTTTTATTTTTATTTTTATTCTAATATAATTCTTGTTGACGGTTTTGCAATATTATCAGACGGTGAACACTAAATAAAGAGTAATTAAATATATAAATATAAAATTTAAAAAATTAATTTTATAGGTAAAATTTTAAAATATATATATATATATATATCATATATAAAAATTAAATGGGCACTGTATTTTAACATTAAAATATTTTTTCTTTAATTCTAATTTTATTATATTTCTTTAATTCTAATTTTAAAACTAGCACTCATAGATTAGATAATGATAAAAAAAAAAAAAAACATATTTAATGTTGCTTAATTACTATATGAAAATATGTATTCAGCTAAAATTTTGCTAAGCAACACTTATAAGAATTTTAATTCGTTGAAAACTTTATTTATTGATATTTTAAAAATAGTATAGAAAAATTGATGTTAACATGGGGAAATTCTAGCATCTCCCTTTTATTTTTTGAGATAGGTGGAGGACGGCGCTATCTTACTTTCGATCGTTGATTTAATGATATTTTATTTTACTAATTAGGATAATTTATTGGTTAACCGAAATTGAAGGTAAAAGATTATCTAAAATGAAAAGGACAATTTGGTAAACTTAAAGGAAAATCATAACATATGCAGTATTGTAGTACATGAGATTGAACAATGAAAGTGGAATAGGTGTGGCAGAGGGTGCTGGTTTAACATGCAAGTTTTGCATTCTTTTTATGTTTATTTTTTGATGCATGAAAACTGAAGATCAACGTTACCAGGCCCGTATTGGGTTACGTTTTCATGATCATCCATCTTCGTCAGAAAATTTTAGCAAATTCAGTAACTATTTTCTCAATCTTTTATCTACAAAAATGACTTCATCCAATCTTCTAATAACTCAATCACCTAAAATCATACAATGTAGCCACAATAAAGACACACATTCATTGTCCTAACTTCACACCTTCCATATATAATTTTTTGTGTTATCTCGTTTAACATAAACCTGATTCATGCCCAAAATCCCAAAACTTGTATTATCCCTTTTATTTTTTAAATTTATTATTAACTATTTTTTATTCGGAAGCCTATTATTTCTATCTGATTTTCAAAATACTATTTATCTTTCGCAAAGTTTCAATCTCATTCATCTTATATTTTTAGTAAAAAAATCATCGGCTCTCAATATTTTTTTCAAATTTGGATCTTTCACCTACTCATAAAAACAAATAGAAGCACGTTAGAATCACTAATTTAAAAGTAGTATGATCCAAGGCAGATTCAAGCATTCCCTATCGTTTTAATAAGCAATGAAAAATGTCTTTTTAAAAAGCTTGCATATCTTGTTCATGTCTTTTCTAAATGTTGTCATGCATTCTTCGTCGTTGATTGAAAAGTTTTTTAATCTGATAGTTAATAATGCAGCACAGGAAAACGAGCATTACATGTTAAATTTATTAAGGTCAGTTCTCTGATTTGTTTAACACAAAAATTGAACACACTCACCGACAAAACTTGTGTTGTTTTTTACTTTCAAGTGAATGATGAACAGAAAATTGAGCATGGTTCTGCATTTTTTATACAATTTATATCACGATGCAACAAGACGATGGGTTGGGATGTTAGAATTTTCTATAAAATTTATTATGGGTTACAATCAATTTTGGTTATTTTTATTTTGTTAAAAAAAGACTAATATTATGATCCATTTGATGATGTTTAAGTCTATTAATAATATGATCAATTACTCATGGGCTTTGCACACTTAATACTGATCTATGTGGGATATAGTATAAGTCTAACTTCTAAATCCATAATGGAAAGTGCCTAAGTTTAATAAATATGATGGCTAAGTTCTCTTTACCATCACAAAAACACATTTCACTGTTCTCTAAATTTGTTCCATTGAGAACTTAGGATTAAGAGAGTGTGATTAGGTAAAAGAAGATCTTGGTTTTTCACTTATAAAAGGATTTTCACTTCACTTACATCGTTTACGATACAATTCACAATATCTATAACAAGTGACTTTACCACTGCTTCACAATTGATATTTTAAATTCATATAATTATATTCAACTCAATTTATCCGTACATGCAAACCATTTTATAGATATTGTTGCTGGATTTTTAATCAAGAAGTCGAAGACACAATTACAATAATGGCAAGGCTTGCTATACTCCGGGAAGAGACGTGTTATCCTTGTGATTATCTTGCAGTGATGATTGATGGGAGTGGTAGTTCATTCTCTTGCAAGTGGTGTTAAGAAGGAAAAAAGATGTGTATTTACACGTTCACCCTTTATTACTAACACCTAATATCAATTACTTATACACATCTACTTTCTAGAGGTTAAATCCTAGTCATTCATGTATTTTATTACATCAATAGTCACAAATAAGAAAGAAGTCTACATTGTATAATATTTTTATAATTTATTTTTATATACTTAGTCTCTTACTTGATGAGGATTTTACTATGTTTTTTATATTATTTGTTATAATTTAGTATCAAAAGATCACCAATGAATTAAAGAAGCATTTTAGTTATAATTGGGTATGGAAAGCAAGGTCATGCGCAGCAAGAAACATAACCTTACTTAATAGTCAACTTGATAGTGCACGGTGCACAACCGTGATTGTCTCCTGATGATTTGAATTTAGAAATATTTTAGAGTTTTAAAACCTTATTTAAAGGAACTTATGAAGCCTGCGACAACAACTTTTGTCTAATTGACTTTTAACAAATTTTGGAGTCGTTTGAGAGTGAAAATCATTGGTGAAGACGTAAGGTATCTTTCTTGAATCTGAACAAGTGATCAAGAACGCTTTTTGGAGACAATAACTCCTTTTATCTTTTTTTCAGTGGAATTTCTCTAGTTTGCATTTCTATTTCAAATGAATATGAATTTTTTTATAATTATTTTCTTTGTTTATTTCATTATGTGTAGCAAAATTTATAGTTAAGATTATGATAGATCCTTTGCACACTTTATGTGATTTTTTTGTTTAATGACAATTGTAGTTTTTTTTCTAGATTAGTTTTGCTCTAATGTGTTTATATCTATATGTTTAGAATTGATCACTCTTAACATATCATAATTAATTGTATTATAAGCAGTTATACTACATGTAATTAATGAAACTATAAAGTAAAACGAGATTAAAAATTAAGTGGATCAAACTTAATTTTTCTCTTTCACTCAGTTATTAAATTAACAAACTCATGTTCTTTATGTTTTCTCTATCTTTTTGTCTTACATGACAATTAGGGTTATAATTTAGGAAAAAGAATACTAATATTGTTTGATTATTGGGTGTTAGTAGTTTTAGTATGAGTGATTGGCGATCATAAAAAAATTAGGATTAAAATTAAACTAAAATTGAATATAAAGATGTGTGAAGGTAAAACTAAAAGCCCTAGATTCATCTTGAATAGTTTTCATATTAAAAGTTGTGCTATTTTCTTGATCTTTTAGTTATCTTCTCGTTTAAACTATTTCATACTTTTATTTTAGTTAATTACGCACTATTTAAGTTCAAACAATTAAATCACAATATTCTTCATAATTGAAAGCAATCTTTGAGAGACGATATTTTAGGAACAAATGTCACGTACAGGCTATATCATCCCAATTTCTCCCCCAAAATCACTAAACTTCCATCACTTATTTATTCATAGTAAGGCCTTTTACATATCGTCAGCCTCTAGTGGAAGAGATATTATCTTCCACATGCCGCAGGAGAAGATCACACCTAAGCATGGTGTTGTAAAGGAAGAGGAAGTGAGCTAATAGCATAAAATCAATGAGTTCTTAAAAAAACAAAAGATTTTGGCCAAAAAGTTTTGAACAAAAAGCTTCAGGTAGATGCCAAAATTGTGCTTTTAAGGCCTTCCAAGAGTTAAAGAATGAGTAGTTTTATATTTTGTAACGTAATAATAAGAAAAATGTTTGACTTTATGTGGTAGTGTAAGCACAATGTCGATGATGGATGCTATTTGCCACCTATGACTATTGGACTATAGGCAGAGAAAGAAAGAGGTAGAAGCCAAAGTGTGGCGGCAGTGTTGTCATCAATGTGAAACTTTAAGCGACTCTTTCACCATGTTAGTCTGGATGTCATTGTATTACTTTTCATTTACAAGAATAACTTATACAACCTATATTGTTGATTTTCCATCATTCATTATTAACCAACCAATTAAAAAAACTCCCTCAATCAATTATTCATAATTCACTCTAGAATTTGGAGAAGGGATGTAAGCTTTTAGAAAAGACATTTTCCAATTGCTTATTGAAGTGATAAGAAGGATGTTAAAATTCATCGATGAAAAGTTTTCAAAATAAGTGATTTTTCCATCCTCCCACAAACTTTGATAAATAAGGGAATTTTATCTTCTGAAAAAGTTGCATAATATTGACATGCATTGTAGACTATTTGATTGAGGAGTTTTTTAATCA